CCTACCCCTTTCCCTCCCCCTCCTCCCCCAACCCCGACAAATTAAAATTTTTTACAAAATTTGTATAAATTTAAAATTAATTAATTAATTAATTATTCTCTCGACCGAATCATTTCACGCATTCGTTTCGCAATACATAATATATATTTAATAATAATAATAATAATAATAATAATAACAACAACAACAACAATAATAATAATAATTACAAATCGTAACGATATTAAAATTTATTGTAAACATCCAACGAATTGTGCAAAAAAAAAAAAAAAAAAAAAAAAATTATCGTTTTCGTTATTATTTAGTAATTTTTCATTATTATTATTTATTTATTTATCGAAAATAATGATGATAATAATATTTTATTTTATATGTGTCATATTAATAAATATTTATAATATATATGTGTGACACTTCAAAAGTTCTTTTAAATAAGAAGAAGAAGAAAGAAAGAACAATGGAGTAGTCACACAAAATTTGTTAAAGACTGCCAAAAAAAAAAAAAAAAAAAACTTATTTCCGGTAATATAAAAATAAAATGGGATTAAAATAATAATAAAAAAAAAATAAGTAAATAAATTTTTAATAACTATACAGATCATTTAAAATAATCACGTGACTATTGGAAAACTCTACAAAAGTCAGTCAGAAAACAAAGAGAAAAAATTGAAAACTACACACTACGTTTTAAAGGATTTGACATTATTATTATTATTATTATTATTATTATTATTATTAATAAAAAAGAAATCCATGTTTCGCATGCGTTTTATTTAATAAAAAAATAAAAAAAACGCAAAAATCCAATTCGGAGACCATCAACATGAACGACCTCAACAACGGTTCTCCAACTCATCATCATCATCATCATTATCATCATCGTGGTAGTATAAAAACAAAGAAACATGGCTTGATCAAAACATTTGCGTTTCAGTCGTCAGAAAAGGAGTTGGTTAACTTTTACATGTAATACGTAAGATTAAGAAAAAACGCGTAATTTCACTTTTTTTTTCTCTCTCTCTCTTTCTCTGTCTCTCTTGTGTGTAAAGTGAAGTCGTTATACAATCTCTCATGATAAATAAGTGTTTGTTGATTTGTTTTTGAAAATTTTTATTTATTTATTTGTTAATTTTTTTTTTTTTCTGAAAAAGTAAAAAAAAAAAAAATAAGTAAAAATGAGACCTCCGTCAAATGAGCCTGCAGGTTTTGGAATCGACATAACAAATTTACAAAATAATCCAGCTTATATGATGTGTCAAAGGCTTGCTGGAAGAGGAATCGTTCGTGTTGTTGGAAGATGTAAAGATGCACAAGAAAATAATAATTTAGGTACGTGAATTGATTTTTTTTTAAAATTTAATCTTTTAATAAATTGTTTCCCTTTGTTTTATAACAAAGCCATTAAACGTTAAAAATTACTTACATTGAATAAACTTAAAAAAAAAATTTCAAATTGTGATCTAACATTACTAATACTAATGGTGGAGGGAAAAAACTGCGAAAAAGGATAAAGATTAATTAAAATTATTTTTTATATTAACTAACAATGAATTTAAAATATTTACCCGATTTTCTTTTTTTTTTTAATTAATAAAAAAACACTAACACGATTTTCATCGTTTTCAAATTCGATTGTTTTTCAAACGGATTTTCATTCGAATTTCTCCTGCCACGAAATTTATTAAAAAGGCGACAATTTTTTCCCTCTCGCTCGCACCCCGACGACTTTTTTAAAATGTAAACAATGTAAAAATGACGCGTAGGATTTTTCTTTTTTACAAATCTTTCCCGTTTAATTTTTCATGAAATATGAGTTAATTTTAAGTGTTAACAAAAAAAAAAGTGATAAAATATATAGCGTGAAACTTTTTTTTCGCAAATTCAGATAATAAATGCGTCAGATAACAATGCCGCATTTAAAAAAAAAAAAAAAAAAAATTTGCATGGTTGTTCATTTCAAAAAAACGACGACGTCAGTGAAATTATTATAAAGCCGCCATTTTGAAATTTTTTTGCGATAGCCACAAAATAAATTTTTTTTGTTTTTTTTTTTTTTTCGTATTAAGACATATATGGATAAATCATTTCGTATTTTGAATTATTCTTGTTTGTATTATTTAGTTTAAAACGTTTATATAGTTAACATGCACTCGATTAAAAAATAAAACTAAATTTTTTTCCGGTTTCGTTTATACACCAAATTAAAAAATATCCTAATTCGATAAGTATAAATAAAATTATCAATACGTTTTGTGTGTACGATATACGTTATTTTCATAAATTTATATTTTCTTTCGAAAAAAAAAGCATAATTCGATTCGAATTTTATCATGTGTGGATTACAACAACAATAACAACAACGTATTTCTCAATATTTTTTAACGGTTTTTTTTTTTTAAAAAACGTTTACGTAAGTAATTTATCAATAACGAAACGTGTAATAAAGTTTTCCATCATTTCCCAAATAATATTTTCAGTTAAACATTTTTTTAACGGATTTTTACGATGAGACGATTTATTCGAAGGAAACAAACAAATTTTAATTAAATAACCTCAAGAAAGAAAAGTAACATGAAGGATTCTCGTAAGGATTACATCGACTGGAATTTTTATTAATAATTAATTAATTAAAATAAAAATTATATCAAATAGTTGATTAGTTTCGATAAAAGGTAATAAATATATAAATCGAGTTAAAATAATAATAATAATAATAATTGAAGTTTTCTTTTTTTTAAACCAAATATAGAAAATCAATATGAGTTATTATGATCACGTGACAGATCAACAACAACAACATTCACTTCCCGTATGTCTTTTTTCCAGATTATTTTTATTTGGACGTTAAAAAATTAATTTGATAAACGTATAGAAATGATAATTTTTCATAATTTTCACCAAGAGTTTAAGAAATTGATGATGATGATGATGATACAAAAAGATTTACCAAAGAGGACGACGGCGCCACCGCCATCTATTATTATTGTTACTTCCTCAAGTAACAAACAAAACGTTAACGTTGGTGTTTGATTATTGTTCTAGAACATTACCTGAAAATGTTATTAAAAAAGGTGATGGATACGACGAATGCAAAAGTTTATATTTAAACCACCACGCGTTTTAAGAAAAATTACAAAAAAAAAAAAAAAAAATGTTTAGTTTCTATAAAAATCGTGAATGAATTTCATTAGTTAGTTGAATATTTTTTTTATTTTCAAATGTTTATTCCTAATATTTTTCAAGTTTCTAAAATGGCTCATGGTGTAACTAAAGTCGTACAAAGGTGTAACGATGCTAAAGAAACTAAAATATTAGGTAATAATATTCATATTTATTTATTTTTTTCTTAAAAAAATTGTATACAATAGTCAATTTAAAAAAATTTTTTTGTTTGTTTGTTTGTAACTGGAAAAAATTAATTAAGTAATAATTTATTAAATAAATATCACACGCACGCGCACACACACAGAGAGAGAGTAAAAATAAATAAATAATTATCGATAGGATTTAATTAATTAATAATTTTTTCAAAATAAATAAAAAAAATTTTTTTTCTTTCTTTTATGAAACTTTGGCTCAAAGTCAAAAAAAAAAAAAAAATTCTTGTTGTGTTTGTGTGTGTTATTTCTGGTTGTTTTTCAAGGTTTTTATATTTTTTGTATTGACATACGAATTTGATTTCAATTCGAAAACAAACTTTTTAAATATGGCCGACTGAACGAATTTAAAAAAAAAAATGTCAATTTTTAATAATCAAAAATGATATTACGACGACGACAACAACCAAAAAAAACAATTTTAAAAACGATTCCATTATTATTATTATTTTTTTTTTTGGTTGTTTCAATCGATGTAATTACAACAAACGAAAAAACAAACAAACAAACAAACGAAATAAATTTTTTTTTTTATTACTCATTCGTCACCTCGAGTAATTATTAACTTTTTATTTATTTAAAATGAATTATTTATTTATTTATCGACTGTAAAATAATAATAATAATAATATTCATTCGTGTTAAATTTTATAATAATGATAATAATAATAATTGTTGAGTAATTTCTTTTTTTTGTTATATTCGTGGTAACGAATAATTTATTCTTACCTCATCTAAAAAAATTTCAATTCAGGTTTTATTTTTTCATCATCATTTTATTATTATTATTATCATTATTATTATTACACAAAAAAAGATTCTCGAATTTCGTTAAAAAAACAACAACAAATAATAATAATAATAATAATAGTATGAATTTTTTAGTTTCGTTCTAATTCAAAAGAATTAATAATGAATTCCGTTACGAATTCATTATTATTATTATTATTATTATTATTATTATTAATAAAAATTACGCGGTTCTTGTAGTTTTGTAAATAATTAATGCGGAAAAAAAAATTTTTTAATTTTAATTTTTATCCAGTTACATCGAATTTTTAATATCCGCCATTATTTACAAAAAAAAAAAAAAAAAATTTTTTTTACGTAACGAGAGTGAGATGCGAAATAAATAAATAAATAAATAAAATGAAGAAATTTTTACACACGCGTTAATTATTTTTTTTTTTTTTAACACGTAAAAATCATTATTATTATTATTATTATTATCATTATCATTCGTAATAAATATTATTTAACGCGTTAATTAAATCATCATTTTTTTTAAAATGATTTTTCTTCATAACGAATAATTTATTTTAAAAAAAATTTTTTTTTTTTTTTTACGTGAATTTGATGACTACCGGAAGTGTGATGGAATCCATTTTGAAACACGTAAAAAAAATTTTTTTTTTTCATAATTTACTTAAATTATTATTTTTGTAACATTTTCTAAAATGAAGAAGAGTAGATGAGATTCTTATTAAAAAAAAATTATGCATCGGTATGCTGTAAAATAATAATAATAATATTACTAGCAGAAGGAGGGAAGATGGCGGAAGTGACGAAAAAAAAGGCGGTGTGGAAAATAAGGGAAGTTTGAATAGCAAGAAAGTCCGATATCGGAAGATACTCAATGGGAAGAGGAATACAATGCGAGGGCAACACCCCCCGCCCCCTCAAAAAAAAAAAACAATAAACGAACCTTAAGGCATCGAATCCTTACACGATTCTGAACAAGCAAAGAAGGGGGGAAGAAGAACAAATGAATTGGAGAAATTTGAACCCGGAGGGAGAGAGGGGGAGGAAATAAAAATATAATTCCGGTTATCGTGGGAGTACTACTACCGGAAGTCATTTTTAATAAGTTAGTAAAAGAAGACACCATAGAGAAAGAAATGACATAAGAAGAGGAGGACAAGAAGGGACAAAATGAAAATGCATAACAAAACATTATCGAAACATATCGAAAAATATCGAAACATATCGAAATATATCGAAACATATCGAAACTATCGAAACGTAATAAATAAAAAAAAAAGAAACGAGAATAAGAGAGAGAGAGAGAGAGAAAATTTATTTCCGTGATTTAAAATCATCGACAACGATTAACCTAAATTTTTAAAACCGGAAGTTAATAACAACAACAACAACAACAACTCAAAATTCGTTTCTTTCTTTGACTCGGCCATTAAAATCAAGTTTTTTTTTTAAACAACATTTACTCATATAAAAATTTTCACTTTAATTAAAATACGATTTGATGACAATAATAATAATAATAATAATAATGTTCTTAATTAATTGAGTGTGCAACCTATTTACGTTAAAAACACAAAAAAGGTTAAACCAAATGTTTAAAAACGTGTAAAATTACCCACCCCCCGCCTTCCTCCCCGAAAATTTTTTTTTGTTTTTCAGGTTTTAAAGAAACGGTCTGATAACAAACAGGAAATGAAAGTTTGTGTGACAATAACAACAATTTAATAATTTTTAACTCTTTCACATTTTCGATTTGGTTTTAGTTATTAATAATAATAATGATTGTTTGTATTTTTCCAGATTTATCGGAATGTCAACTCATGCACGTTCCAGATGCTGTTTATCATTTGATGAGACACACGACGTTAAAATGTTGTAATTTATCAAGTAACGTCATAACAAAAATACCTCCAAAATTTGCCGTTAAATTTTCATTAATCACAGGTAAAAATTTTTTGGTTGTTGTTGTTGTTGTTGTTGTGGTTGTTGTCGTCGTCGTTGCGGTAACGCACCACGATTTCATTTTCTTCGCTTTCACTTTAACAACAACAACAACAACGAATTTCCCTTCGTCATACTCGTTAAAAAAATTAACCGTTTTTTTTGTGTTTGTTACTTTTTCAGATTTAAATTTGTCACATAATCAAATGAGTAAACTTCCCGATGAATTTTCCGATCTCGAAAATTTAGAAAGACTGGATATATCACATAATTCCTACATAGCTATGCCAAATGTCGTCTTTCATATTCCTAAATTAAAATATTTAAACGCTCAAAATAATCACATACTCGGTGAGTGTCACCATCGTCATCACCGTCACCATCGCCATCGCCATCGCCGTCACCATCGTCATAATAATAATAATAATAATAATAAAATTTTTTGCAGATGTCGAAGTAGAAAAAATATTAGAGGCTCCATGTTTGGAAGAAATGAATTTGTTGGAAAATCCTCTCACTCCGAGATGTCACGATAATTTAAGTCACTTGACGACGATGTTGAGGATAAATTTACCACAAAGAACAAAACAAGACTGGGAAGATTTAACGATATGATTTTATAATTTTTTTTTGTAAACGTCATCAATCGTCACAACGACAGAAATGAAATAATCGCAACACACCACAACAGGAAAATCACTTATTATTATTATTTTTTTTATTATTATTTTACCATATACAAATCTAGTCTTTATATGTTTTACATTATTTTTTTTTTATGTACATAAATTATGTTACCGAAAACTAGTCGTGGGTTTTTATTTTTTTTTGTGTTTTTAATAAAAAATGTTTGTTTTACTAAAATTATTAATTAATGTTTTTTTATTCGAGTAACGATTGTGTAAATAGATATTATTATTATTATTATTACTCGTAGATTGTTTTTTTTTTTTTATACTAAAATGTGTTTATATTATTATTATTATATCGTATATTTGTTGTGTTGATAAACTTATATAAAAAAAAAAAATAAATAAAATTTTATGTACGCGATAGAGTTTTAAATTTTTTGTGCTTTTCAGGTTTTGTTAATCGTTTTTTTTTTTTTTTTTTTTTTTTTTTAATCCAGGAGAATGTATTTTGCAGTAACCTCCCCCCATAAGGGAGTAGAAGGGAGAGTGTGGGGGGCGAAGCAGAAGCAGAAGCCACTACCCAATTAAAACTCCTAGTTTCGGTAAGTGGGAGGGGCGTTTGTGGGAGTACTAAGTCTCAACCCCCTCCTGAGCTAGAATTATCAGGTTCCCACCCGAGGAGATCCCGGTACTTCCCCTTTTTACCCTTCGAGAAACAGTCCCGATCTGTTACCCGTCATCGTTCCTGTCTCTTCCGGTGAGTCCCAAAGCATCTAGCCTCCAAGTATTTGGATTACAGGAGTAATACACCACACCGGAAACCGGAAACAACGAATAGGAAAATTTAAAATAATAATAATAATAATAATTTTCTTCTCATATAATGAATTATATTAATTTATAATTAATATTTATTATAAATTATTATTAATAATTTTTTTAACAAAGATTCGAAATTTTTTATAATTGAACTACAATCGTAATAAAGCGTACATAACTTTTTTTTTTTTTTCAAAAATTTTAATTTTATTACGCAACTATCGTGTAGGATTTTTATTATTATTATTATTATTATTATAATAAGCAATATTTATTTATTTATATTAAGCTCACTAATACCTTAATAAAATTTTAATAAATCCATAATAAAAATTATTATAAATATATATTTAAAAAAATCGATAAAATCATCGATTTTTTTTCGTTTAATTAACGATTAACATTAAATTATATTTACTTATTAACAACATTTAAAACGTCGGCTTATTATACTCATTTATTATTATTATTATTATTATTATTATTAATATCATACATTTTTCCCTATATATATATATATATATATATAAAATTAAATACATAATCGATGTAAAATAATGACCATTGATTTAAAAATCATCATTAAAATGAGAGTAAATAATAAATTACATAAAAAAAACATAACAATAACAACAACAATAATAATAATAATAATAATAATAATAATAATAATAGTGATGATTTATATAATAAAAAAAATAATATCACAATAATTTTGTTTATAAAAAAAAAAAAATTTTACAACCTCGTAAATTGAAAATCTTTCTTTTCATTTTTATTTTTGTTTTACCATTAAAAAATACTGAACGTTACATAAAATGGAATGTAAATTATTATTATTATTATCATTATTATTATTATTATTATTATTATTATTATTATTATTATTATTAACCCTTAACCCAAAAAAATAAAAAAATAAAAAAAATAAAATAAAATATATATGTGATAACTTTTTATAAAAAAAAATTTTTTATAAAAAATTATTTTAATAAAACCAGACCAGCTGACTAAAATAAAACTAAAATAAAATAATAATAATAATAATAATGATAATGATAATAAATAATATTTATATATATATATATTTAAAAAACATTTTTTTTTTATATAATTTGCTAAAATATCACAACTAGTAGTAGTGGAGTATAGAAAATTTTTTTTAAAGTTTTTTTTGTGCTTTGAGTACTATTGATATGTGTTTACATGATGATAATGATGATGATGATGATGATGATGATGATGATGATGATGATGATGATGCGTTTCACGAAACGCGATTTTAAGTATTTTTTTTTTTTTTTTTTTCAGACGCGAGATCTTTATTAAGAAAACATGCATCGGACGCGGACATTTAAATGAACAAACGGACAAAAAAATGAAGACTTTTCGACGATGTACAAACGCAAACAAAATACCAATTGTACGTCAGAATTGTTTGTTCTA